ATAATAAAAATACCATCATCTTCATCATCGTCATGATTTTAATAATAATTACTATAACTAGGATAATTATAATAATAATCATAACAATATTGATAATGATATTCATTATAATCATGATAAGGATAATGATGATACTAAGGACGAAGAAATATTCCATGGAGGATTGAACAAACAGAAAAGAAAATTGATAATGATAATGATGATAATGATGATGATGATGATGATAATGACAATGATGATCGTGATGACTGGTAGGACGAAGAAATATTCCATAGAGGAATGAACAAACAGAAAAGAAAATTGATGAAAATGATGACAATGATGATAATGATGATGATTATGGCGATAATAATGATAATGACAATTATGATCCTGATGAGGTAGGACGAAGAAATATTCCAAGGAGAACTGAACAACCAGAAAAGAAAAATTACAGAAACTGCATGCATCACGACGAAGAAAAATGTAAACATCGGGAAGTTTCAAAATATCCAAGGTCGAGGCAACCGTTATGTCGTCAGGCAGTTCGTCAGCTCAATCTAATGTGTATATATGCTCTGTAAAGCATATATACACATCTATTCGAAACCGGTTAAATATATTGTATTGTGAAGATATCCATTCTCATTCATACCTTTTCTACACTGGTCGCAATGAATACGGTTCATACACATGTAAATTAGAAGACATTCATTCAGCCACCACGATCACAACTTCACCTTTACATGAAAAAAAAGGCCTATTAGTTCAATTGTCGTAGAAGCACTAAAGCGGAAGCCGTATTTGGCACATTCGTGGAATTTGCTGCCGTCTCATTCACAACTTGTGTAGCATTCCTTCACCTTCACATTACGATATTTAGCCACAGTTTTTGTCGTCCAAAATCTTGTGTATGTAGCAGTTGAATCTAGTCAAACCCATGACATCACATAAATTACTGCAAACTCCGATGTTACATTGTAAACATGCAACGTAATATACTTAATTAACTGAAACATTAAATTAAAAGCGGTGACGTTTTCCATATCCTGGATCGAATTACGTTTCCCATTCATTACTCGTTTTCTCTTTCAGAAGCCAGATGCCTGAAAAGTCTTCCTCTTTAGTATCAAGTCCCCTCTCGTTACATAGCAAATTCTTTCATTTATCCTCTGCTTCCTATTATATAGGTAACGCTAATGGTAAAGGGAAGAATTGATTTCTGACCTTGTTTTCTGGCTCGCTGCTTCTTGTACTCACCGTGTGTCAAGTTCCATACACTGAGGTTCCATGTGCATCGTTAGCAGTACTTGATCCGTGTTTTCGCTTGTTACAGCTGAAATGCAAGCTTCTCAAAGACTTCTTAGTCTCTTCCTTAACCCAGAGCTAATCTTGGAAAGTATTGTAAATAAAACAACATAGGAAAGAACAAGAAAATACTCAAATATGCCGAGGCCCATTTTCCTTTATTACTCTTCTTGGTTTTCCTGTGCAAAGTGCAAAGGAATGAAGTGTGTTCAGTTTTTTAGCTTATTTTTTATTTTTTATTTTTCAATGTATGAGTTTTCTAAGGACTCACTTGGACAAGCTTATATCATGTTTGTTCATAGCCTCAATTTTACTCTTCCATTGAACTCAAAAACCCTGTAGATCTCTCATGCTGGTTCTTACTTTAAAGTAGTAAGTCCTGGGACCTAAACTGCTCTTTCACAAAGTACTTTTTTTAAAACATACCAGGTGACATCACCCCACCATCTTGATATGACACACAGACACACATGCACAGACTCACACACAGACACACACATCACAGACTCACACACACACACACACACACACACACACACACACACACACACACACACACACACACACACACACACACACACACACACACACACACACACACACACACACACACACAAACACACACACACCATAATGATAGACATTTCAAAGAAATTCCACTGAATCTACACTGCAGGTGTGCAAATAATAATCCACTACTAATTTCAGGTAGTGCAAGATACTCCTTTGGCAAAGAAAGGGACAGATTCATAAAACATTTTTCTTTATTGTTTGCTGTAGTTGGCCACCAGTTGCTCATAGTCCACCATTTTTTTGTGTTGAGCAATAAATGACAAATTCAAAAATATTTCTTTATTGCTAATGAGATCTCTACATTATCATTATCATAATTCTATCCCAGTATCCAAAGACAGTGGATATAATTTTTTTTAACATTTAAATTACAATATTCAGCATAAAAATAAATCAAACATTTTATATAAAATTGAAAAAACAGTATAATTCATATAATGCATTCAAAATGTTTCATTGGTGTTGAATGTATCTAAAATCACAGTCCAAGCAAAACAAACTGACATGCTAGTGTTTTGTAACTATTAAAAGGGATATATCACAGGTCATCAATCAGCTTACTGATTGCTCTATCTTTACACTTCTTTTTTATCCTCTCTGCTAATGATAAGCCAGTGATTACGGGTGAAAATGTAGTATCAGCAAGTTCCTCCTTCATCTGTAATAGATGACTTATTTTTCCTTTATTTAAATCCTTTTCACTTTCACAATCTTTAGTGGTATGTGAATGTTGGTGTTGCTTCTCTTTTTTATAAACTCTGTGTGATGTTCCAGCTTTATTTGTTTTATCATCATAACAGGAATTTTTGTCAATCCTTTTGGCAAATGGTTTGTCATGCCCATTTTCATTATGGATAGATATATCATTCTTACAGTTCTTTGCCGTAATCATGCTTCCTTTCTGATCTCTGATATCTCCTCTGGGACTGTCCTGTAACAGATTCAAGGAATTTTCCATCACTTTGCTAACCTCAGAGCAGGCTGCAATTTCTTCAACTGCACTGTGGCTGAATGATTCACCAGTCTCTGAAGAACAAAAACTGTCAAGGAGTTTGAAGCACAGACCATAAGTGTTGTCTTTACTTCTACCCTTTGGAGTGTTAACTAAGGGAGTCGAGTTACAACCTCCCCGAGGCATGTGAACAAACCTCCGCTCTCTACCATAAGAATCATGCAACCGATGAAGAGAATTTGCCGACAAGGGTTCCAAAGGAGACACTGTACAATCAAAAGATCCTTCAGTTTTCCCTGCAGGAGTTTTCCAGGTGGGTGGACTTGGGGTATAAACATTATCTGATGGTTTAGGTCCTTGTAAACTACAGGATGCAGAGTCATCTTGAGCCTCACTATCAACTTTTCCCCGTAGGATCCCTTTACTGTTAACCAAGAGAGGAGTAGAATTGAGATCAGGCAGTGATGAATGAGACATTCCTTGGACTTCCCCTGTATCCTCAAACATATCTCTGGAAATCTGGCTCTTACATGCAGAAGTTTCTGACAGGAGGCTAAAGTCATTGAGTGTAAAATGTAGCTTCTCTTCAGGCACTGTCATCAAGCAGCTTTGTGACTCATCGTTTCCTTTCTTATTTTCTTGTGGTGATTTATTTGTCACTTGTGATTTGTGGCTTATTTTGTTGGATTTACTTTCCTTGATATCTAACACATTTTCAGAAATATTATCAAGCACAAGGCAATCAGGATCAGCAATTTTATTTCTAGAGTCATTCAAAAGAACATTCTCTTCAACTTTATCATCAAAGTCTTCATTATCTTTAGGAGCTTTACATTCTAAACTATTCTCCTGAATTTTCTCATTAAATCCTCCACTATTACTTGGAAGGTTATCCTCAAGGTTTAGACTGTTTTCTGTATCTTTATCATCAAAGTCAAAACTATTCTTAGGTATTTCATCCTCAAAGTTCTGAATATACTCTAAAACTTTACTGTCATAGTCCAAGCTATCCTCTGGAATTTCATCCTTAAAGTCTATGGTGTCACTTGGAATTTCAATTTGATAATTACTACATATTACAGATTTTATTTCAGGACTGCCAATGCACTTCTTAAAATCTGCACCAACAATATCTCTACATTTTTCAGGCCTTTCCTTACTTTCCTCTTCACTGTCACTTTCTGCTTTAAGGTCACCGTTTTTTGTATGAAGTGCTCCAAACGGTCCTTTAGATGTCTTTAACTTCGATCTGATGTCCTTCTTGCCGATTTTCCTTGATATGCGATCCATCAAACTCAGAGGCTGATTCTCTTTGTCTTCTTCATCACTGCTGTCTGTTAAAGCATCAAAGTCTTGTCTGCCCTTATGAAATTTAGTTGCAAATGTCTGCTTTTTCTTGCCATCCTCCACCTCATCTGTGTATTTCCTATGCATCCACCGTTTCTCGTCTTCGTCCACCTTATTTGCATATTTTCTTTCTTCATCTACAGTGGAAGTCGATCCCTTCAAGGTCCCCTCCTTAGAAACATTGCCTTTGCAACCTTTGGCCCTTTTGTCTGAGGTCGAGACTGACTGACGCCCACTGTCCTTATTCCTCCCTGTCAAGTCAATACCAACAAGGCGATCTATGATGAGTGAAAGGTCTTCGTCTGTCTCCTCTTCTTCCTCTTCTTGTGTGATGTATTCCTCTTCCTCTTTCCTCTTACTGACTTGTGTCTTCTCCTTGCTGGCGCCTTTAGCCTTTGTCTTCTTCGGTTCATTCTTTTTAGATTTTTTGCTTCCTTTGCCTTTAAAAAGAGAAGGATCTTGATAGTGACAATACAACATGAAGAAGAGTAAGAAAAGACAAATATGGAATAAAAGAAAGGAAAACAAAGGGAACAAAGCACACAAAAAGAAAATGAAAAAGATGAATAAATTACAAATGAAGAGGAGGAAAGAAGAAAGAAGGGTAAAGAAGAAGATTGAAAAAAAGGGGAAGGAAAACAAGTGTAAACTCATGTTTTCATACACAAATAAATCATATAAGCACTAAAATATTTACAAAAAGAATGAGAAACTTGTAAACAAAGACCTTTCTTGGCAGCCTTCGCCTCCTCAAATTCCTCAAGGAGGGCTGGTAATGAAGCCTGCAGCAAATGAAGAGGCTCGTCTGTGGTGAGCTCAACGGGAGAATTCTCGGGTAGGT